TGTACGCAAGTAATGTGAACTTTGCGAAGGAGTGAACCCATAAGGGATTCACGATCAACCGAGTCGAAGGCTTCTTCCAAGTCAAGGAACACGACACCTTGGTCAACGGTGAGTATGGTGTAGCTCGAGGACTTGACGCAAGGTGAAGATATGATCGATACATCCGCGACCTGGTCGAAATCCTGCTTGTTGTTCGCGGGTGTTTGTCTCCAAAAACGGCTTCAGACATGGAGGTAACTAACTTGGCGACNAGTTGTGTAACCAGATGTTACGCATTACATCGGTAATGGCGTCTACAAGGCCATGGTCATCGAATTTGAAGACAGTGGAATCCCGTCCTGCCCTGCTGCTTCTCCTTTCTCCAGGGCTGGGATGCAAGAACGAGCTTCTGTTGCAGTAGGATACGACCAGTGTCCAGGCACTAAGCAGGAGAAAAATTACAGTTGTCGTCAATAGTCTTCAGTTCCGACAAGAACCTGACCGCAACACAGCGGGTAAAGCGACGTTGGATCAATTACTCCTCCACTATTTTACCGACCGAGACGCTAATTCGAGTCGAACTCCCAACCTGGAGGACCAGGAGACTGAACTTCGTCTGATTTCTGCCGATTGTACTTCCAGGCATGATCAGATCTGTGGCTTGATAAAAGCCCGTATAGCTCATCGGGTCAAAGAGGTGCACAAGCTATCACATCACGTCAAGGTGCAGTCTCGTGGACTGTCGGGGATAAGTGACAAACACACGGAACACTGCAATTCAGACACATTACAATAACACATCCGTCCGACAGAAATGGGACAAAACTCACTGCGTGTTTTCTGTAGAAGGCTGAATAGCCGCCCTTCATGATGTAGATCTCGGGGAAGTATAGGAAAGGATAGCGGTGGTAGTTTGAAACACGATCGATGCTGCGGAGAAAGGTTGCACTGTGGAAGGGAGTGAAATATGCGATCTTCGTTACGTCCAAACAGAAAAATGAGGTGCACTGTAAAAGCAGCATATGAGGTAGGCTGTGTACTAACCGTGACAACTAGTTCCAGGACTATTTTGACTATAGGTAGCAAAATAAAGACCAACGCCCGATAGCCACGATCTTGGAATAAAAGTATTAGTATATACAAGGATATCAAAAAAGAAACAGCATCTGTAGAACCAAATCAGTAGCAGATGCACATTCAGTAACCATAGTAATGAGTCTCTATTTTCATTTTTACTCATTAATCATATAGAAATGTACAGATTTAAAGATTTGCCGGTCTAGGTGGTAAGAGGTATATGATTGCATTGTAAGGATGACTGACCGACCAGACGTGAATGATTTAATATTGAATGAGGTAGCTGAGCTGACCACAAGAAGCTACAAATGATGAACTGATAGTGATATGAACAGAACATGATGGATATGGATGGATTATAGTGGTCCAACTCTCGTTCGACTGAACTCCTAATAACTGGGCACATGAAATATCAACTCACAGGTCTGGAGCGCGCTGTGATGAGAATTCACAATGGAATATAACCACAAACGCAGGTTCCTGGGAATTGGATGAAGATGGTCCGCTCCCTTGACTCAAAACACTCATATCTGGCTCAGATCGACTGCTTGGGCTATCGACCAGGGCTGAATGACTAGAATGCTCCGCCGCGAGTTCCAAGTCAGAGGTATCGGCAGTTGTTTGCCCCATTGCATCACTGTCCAGCAAAGAATCATCATCGGAAACTGTCTCACAGGGTGCTGACAACGGTTCTTTCAACGTCATTGCCAGACGACGGGAAAGGCCTTCTCCCAACAGTCTAGGCGGACCGGAAACGCCGGGAGGACGTTGTGCGGGGACACGGTTGAAAATTTCCTGCACAAGATCGCTATGTGTGAATATGTTAATAGCACCTTGTATGTGACCCCCTTCATATTCGTAAGGGAAACGACAATCAACAATTACGTGGCGCACATTCCGGTCGGTAACAGATCCCGAAACTAGTCCGGCCACAGTCTCAGTTGAGACACAATGCAAACCTGAAGCTGTACGATCGACTACTGGCAAAGCGCGAGGACGACGGTCTTCGAAACGAAGGTAATGACTGTCCAAAGCATTCAGACAACGACCAAGCTGTATGAGGGAAAGCGGTTAAGTAACAAACAATAACAATTCAATAGTTGGAGGAGAAGAACGAAGTTAGAGCGTAGAACTTTCCAGAATGAACTTCCAACGGGAAATTAAATTCATCTTGATATCAGTCGTATGACTGCAGATCAATCGTCGACACATGTGGATTTATATAAGCTGTTATTGGTTGCTCGAAGCTCAGGTTTATGATTTTTTATCACCTCCAGCAAGACTCACGAATTTTTTAGATGCAAACAAGTTGAGGGGCGACCTAACAGAAAATCGTCGTTCTCTTTTGCGTTTAGCAGTTGGTGACGAGAACTTCGTCGATCGTGCCGGTAGCGCCCAGACTAAAACAGCTGGTAATAAGGTGAAGAAAACTCCTGCCGGCTCACGCACCAAAGACGGCTCTCTGTTTTGATTAACTGTGTTTTCCCATTGCGGACATCCACTTTGGTCTCCAACATGTACTCAATTCACACCTCTTGCACCACGAAGCCTAGGTGTACATCAGCGGTTGCCCTCGGACAAAGCGCTAAACACGGTTCAAGGAGACTCAGTAGGAATGCCAAGGCGGCTGCATATATATATATATATATATATATATATATAGGTGCCCCATCGACCTGGTGACCACTGCCACAACCGGAAAAGTGTGATTTATTCGGTTCACTTTGTTTGGTTTGGAATCACGGTTTCCGGTCATCTCCCGACGGTGAACAACCAGTGGTCCACCAACCCGGTTATGTCGAGTTATCGTCCCTCTTTTGGTGCGAAAACACCGCCACGAGCAGGCAGTGAGGCCATGAGACGTTTGCGAGGATGTGACCTTACTAATCCAAGGACGACGAACAGAGACATGGACCCCTGCGTTCGAGCCGCATCACAGTGTAATCTCATGCCTCACTCAGGTATTGGGTATTCGTAGGGCAATCGCCACCCACCTTCGGGTTTATTGCATCATTTTTTTCCCAAACTGTTTCTTGTCTACCAGCGAATAGAATAAGAAAACTCATCACAGACAAGCTGTTCGATACAACTCAAAATGTTCTTCCCGAACTGTTCATAACAGGAATGAACAGCAAGGGACCGTTGCGGCAATCGTTTTATCATCAGGTTGTGAACCTTGCCAGGATGAAAATTATACTGAATAATAACAATAATAATAATGTACACAGAAACGGAAAGCTCTTGCGGCTTTATATCCACCGAAACACGCGTCCGGTCCCAGGAAATAAAAACTGAGTAAAAAAACACCGGTCTCCTGAGCTCTCAATTCTCTAACCATCGCCTTATTGATAACCGCATACTGACACTTCATTTCCGTAACAGGTGAACATTTCATTCACATACAATTATAGCTAGGGTGATGAACTATTAAGACTGTCGGCAGCCGTTGAAACCAAACTTTTTCACACATTTTGACGTTCGGTAAAAGAGGAAGACTCATGGACAAAAAGGATACTGTAACAGGAGAGAAGGGGAACACTCAGGAAAGACCAAGTATATTGAAAGTGTATTTGAACAGTGTCATGTTGTAGTTTGAGGAGACAACAAGCAGTGCGCGGTTGTTACACAACTGCAAAAACCGCAGGCCGAACCGATTTCTTCGACGTTAATCATTCAGTGTCGCGAAATCAACAAGTTAGTAGAACCACCCAAATCAGTTTTCGCCTTCGATAACCGTTACCACAACCTCTGATCTGCAGGTTCCGCGTAGTTGCTTGGGGATTCGCTCGTACGTTCTCCTAATTTAAGCATAGACCCAATCAGGATCGTCATTGTTTTTTGTTACATACCGGTGTGGTCACGAGGACCTGCTGTTCATTGATGGAAACCGGTAACCTACACCTCGCGACTTGGAGTGGCGACAGGTGGGTTATGGTGCTTCGCTGACTGTCTTCAAACATTGTTCACGTCACTATCACTTCTGGCGAAGATACTTCACGGTGCGTGAATTCAGTGCTGAGCTTTTCGCTTTCGGTACCTCGCGGGCGCAGTTGAACTGAACATTAGCTACCTTGGAAGGGAACAATATCCTGTTCCCCAAATAACTGGTTTTTGCTACTGAAATTGGCCGGGTTGTCGACAACCACAGGATGTGTTCGGATCGCGTTCACAGACATAAGGTAGCATCTTAAATCTAAAGACTGCATTCTAAAATGGGGCATGTTCTTGAAGAAATATAAATTAGCAACCGGTTAGAGTATTGGCACACCTGAGTTTCAGGCTAATCGATTCATCCACGAAATCATTCACAGGCAAAACATGAAATTTCAAAAGTGAATATAGCAAATGAAGCGTGAAAACAAGAGCTAGGAAGCATTGGAGGCAAGTTACGAGATTAGCGGGGTCTCTGGCCACAACAAGTTGGCAAAGATGGGTTGTACTCTATCGTGTATATGTGAAATGAAAAACGGTCTGATCAGCTGTCCGGTGGCGGAGCGGGTAGCAGTCATGCGTTCTGTCCATGAGGTCCCGGGTTTGATCTGTTCGGTCGATGCATTCGCACTGCTGATGAGACCCGACCAGGTGGTATAGCTTCCCAGTGCTTCCTAGCGTTCCAGTTCACGTTACATTTGCTATTTAGACAACGAACTCACGTTTGAAATGAAATCATATCCCCCACTACTCATGTTATATAAATACCTATTTCGTAAATGGTATGTGAATGACTGGGCATAATTTCACTGGAAGCACACGAGCGGTTTCGCGGTTCTTGACGATCGGCAGGCTTGTGTGTCCAACAATTTACCAAGCACATCACCTCAACTGAACCAAATCTTACAAGTTAATTCAGTCCCCAAATTAGAACAACGCTTTCCACTAAATTTGGGAGTCACACAAACAAGTGAAAAAAATACTTGGGTTACCAAAAGAACTACTCACACTTTCTGAAAAGGTTTCCACGGGTACCGACGCACATCGTGAAAGACTGGGTTTGCACTCGGGTTGTGTTGAAGGCGCAACCGGCAACGGTGATGCAACTGCCGGACACATGAAAGGCTTCGACCGCGTTGGTACCATGGGGGTGGACTGATGTCGGAACATGTCGAATAAAGGTTTTGGACGTGACCCCAGTTCCTTCTCGGGTTTCCCCTCGTCATGCACATTTGCGGACTCCTCAGCTAGCGGACATGTATCATCCAATGGAACGGTTGCATCCAATTCCTGATTTTGCGGACGGATCGCATAAGTGCATGCACCAGGTGACTCGGTGCGCAACTTTTTGTGTAATGGGTGAAACGAGGACTGGTCCAGTGCTTCTCGTTCGGACATAGATTCATCGCTGGTGTTAATGGGCGACAACGAGAATTTGGTAAAAACAGATGCAATAGCCGGTGGACTGATCTCAGGTGCACACAATTCTCCAACTGGAGGTAAAGAGTACCTACGAGATGCAGATACTGCAGGAGTTTGAAGATCACGTTGTATTGCGGCCGGGCACGAGTCCGTGTCAGCCATTTGCGAAGGTGAAAGCATACCCGGGGTTGAGAGGCGTGTTATCCCTGATATTCGAGGCCAAGTTTGCTTTCGGGTGCGCTTGGCGAGCCACCCTCGATTCGTACAAGACTGGGTTCGCCGAAGCGTGGTGTGTGGATATGTCGCGGCAGAGTTACTGCATTCTGCCACGCCATTCGGTTCGGAGAGCAAGGAAATGTAGTTTGGCAAAATACTCTGTTCCGTCGATGGACAGGCAATCTGCAAGGACTGGATGGAATAACTTTTATGGTAGAGAAATTGACCTACTCGCTCGACATTGCAAGTGGGAGGAGCGGATTGCGTAGTAGCCGAACTGCAATATCCGGACGAATAGCTACTAGAGTATTCCCGGAGGAGTAGTTGTTTTGACGTTGTTGTTATTTGTACGGAGTTAGATACTTCGTTGACGTCCAACCACGTAGGAAAGCTCTTGGTTGGCGGCTCCTGATTCGCACTATAACAAGTAATCATCAATTACGAGAATTAAGACCGAACCTTTCATCGATATCAGCTGGTATGGTTTCTGAAATACCCGTCACTAATAGAAAGTTAAATCATATGGAATGGAATGCAAAAAGACTCACGTCTTGTGTGAGATTCACGTTGTACATCTAGCGGCTCAACGAAACTGGCAGATATAATGGACTCGTTCGGCAAACAGTTAAGAAGTAATTACCTTGTCTGTTGAAATATCCGCGACAACCGGGTGATTGGTGTATCACTTATTGGCCGTTCATTGTCCTTTCCTTTCCCAAATTTGTATAACTTGAACGGCGACATCAAACCAGCCGACGAAGACACTTATCAAGGCGGCTGCCCTTAACACGGAGGAAAAAGAAAATTCGCACGCGGTGGGAAGAACCGGCATGTTTCGTTCATGTTTATTAGAACGGTACGACCAATGAGATTAGTCAGCCAATCAGAGTTCAGGTCCAACTAATGACAGACATAACCCACTCAGCTGATCAAGGTCAATCTGGCTGGCCCGGCCGGTGAGTGATCGGCCTTGAGGGAAGGGGAAAGGGCAACCCTGAACATAGACGATAGACGAACACGCAGAAGTGGCAATTCACCGTGTGTGGGTGCAGACACATGAATTCGACTGCACGAATCGTAGCCCTGGGTTGCGGCCCAGCTGTTCTGGATCCCGGTCCGTGCATGGCCTGGAGCAATTCAGGCCGTATTTTGTGGCTGCGTGAAGTTTCCGGGGCGGGAATAGTAACACAATGGGCGGATACTCAGTAAATATTCCACAAAGTTAATTCTTCAATTACGATTCATCATCGGCTGGGAAGTGTAGGATTAGCACTCGTTTAATATATTGAACAAAATTTCTGGTAATTGGTCCGAGAAATAAATTAAATCAACTACGAGATGAGGATATTTACCACATTCTCAGCTGGTACCATGCAACTCGGCCCAGTATCACCGTGAAGCCTGTATTTTGGAGTTATTTTCGGCTTTTGACAACGAAACCGATGAACGGTTCTCTATATGGTGGAGTTGAGAGCACATTATTCGAAGTTCGTACGTCTACAATTACCATCACCTTCAAATCTCATTCAAACCATAGATTGCATAATTGTTTTGGATTTTGTGAAAATTCCGTGTATTTTAAACAAAAACAGGGTTGTGGGCCCTAGGGTCGGTCGTTAAACGAATATTTTCATTGATGAAAGATTTTTGATGAGCGGGTATGTGCAGCTTGCAGTTTATCACAAGACTGCGGCCAACGAATCTTCATTTTACCAAACTCACTTCCAGATATCAGAAAAGATTAATATCAGTCAGGTAGTCGTTCTGTTATTTGGGCAGCTACACATCACCCGAAAGACGCGTCGCGGATGAAGTGTCTGCTCGTTTACATTTGCCAACTCGGTCAGTTCTGCTATACGGCGCAGAAACTTGGCCATTAAGAAAACAGGATAAAGATCGACTGTCGGTACTTGAACACCGCTGTCTACGCAGCATTGCACGAATCTGGTGGGACAGCCGGACGAGCAATGCTGAGGTCAGGAGCAGAGAGTTTTAGGTAACCGTGGTTGCCTGCTGGAGCAGGTGGTCGACCTTTACGAATGCCACGGCGTGCGATGTTCATCGAGGCAGATAGATGGTGTAGTAAAGCCAAGGGTGGTCAAGAGAAGACCTGGCACGAGGGTATCAAAACTCCAACCAAGAGACTGGGTCACATAGGTCCCGTTGAAACTCCCTGGCTGGGGACCTCGGGATGATCGTAACCGATGGTTAGAGACACTGAGTGATATGGCTGATTGTCGTGAACAGTGGCGTTCTGACATGAATTTCTTTACAACATTAGTCCACCGAAATTCTAAATTTTCTCTATGATCCTACTTTGATCCTTTCCTGTGTTTTCTCCTAATGTTCATCCGAAAGGACAGCCAAATGACAGCAACCGAAACCGGCGCGCGATAGTGTATGATGGTTGTACAAACGGAACCAAAAACGTGATTACTGTTCCAGTGAATAGCTGTTCGCCGAGAACTAGCAATGCTGCCGGATGAGATAGCCACTTTTCATAATGATCTCTCTCTGTAACGAAGATCGACAAATGCCCATAGGAATCCTTATGACATGTGCCAATTCATTCTGCCTCTAAATAAGACGATTCCCCATATGCAACTGTCATGCATGTAACACAAGATGAAGCAACACCTATCTGTGCATCCTCAAGCGGAAAGTTCCAGGAATGATGAGGATGTCGCTTTGTACCCCCATCCCCTTCGGGTCGTTGATAAATGACTACAGTCATGAGTAGATGAGTCATCAGAGCTATGCACATGGGATTCATTGTATTCATCTAATTCGACTGTTTCTAATTGAACAAACAAACTGCATACGCGGGGATCTCTTCGTGTACACATTTACGTATAAACTCGGGATAAAATAGGGGAATATAGCAAATTGCTGATACCTTCCCTCTTCCACAGTGCCTCCCAAACGCACAGAACCACACTTCCCAGTTGTATTCCTATTTGAAGTTACAATCCTCTGGTGAGGTGGAATAGAACCCCATCAAAGCGAGCAAACAGTTCTCATCGGATCGGCTGGTTCAATCGTGCGGCGGCCAACACATAAAAA